GAGGAGCTTTTTATTTTTAAAGCTGACTCGTGTGAATTTAAAGAAACATCAACACTCAAAAACAAGTCGCGTTCGCTTTCATTTTATTCTTTGGAATCATTTTTGGCATTTTGCACAGCGCAATAGTGAATGAATAATGAAAACAAACAAACAAATGTAGCAGTCAGCATACGGTATAAAAATGCAGTTGCAGTGACGTGGATAATTTCTGCAATACAAAGCAAATATATTAAAAGGGGATTTCCTTGCACAACAGGAAAAATTCTCAAATGATGTATAAATTTATGCTTCTTTTTACACCTGGTAGCAAAACGTAATTTTCATTTCATTTAAACACACTGTGTTTTTGTTTCTGAGCCGTGATAAAGTTTGTAACCTCGCACTGAAAGTCCATGGTTAAAATAAAATAGGGCTGGTTTGGGTTGGATGATTCTGTCTTCCTCCTCATCTCTCTGCTGACTCAGATATTCTTCAAAATTTACAAAGAGTCCAGCTCCGCCCTAACTCCCACAGTAACAAAAAAATGAAAAAAAAGAGAGAACTGAGAGTCACATTAGGGCTTCTTCTCAGGGCAGGCCGGCGAAGACCTGCTGGGCCCTCAACCAAAGAGCTTGATGAAGCAGGGGTGGCAGTAGGGTTTGTTCTCCTGCTCCTTGAAGCAGCCTTTGCTCAGCGGCTTCAGGCAGAAGTGACACACGAGGTGATGCGGGTGGAATTTGGCCCCCATTGCGGTGACGCAGCGCCCCAGGATGGGCTGCTGGCAGGCCTGACACATGCTGCCGCGGGACTGGTGGTAGTGGGCCTCGCACAGCGGCTTGCCCTCGTGCTCGAAAAAGCTGCCGTTGACGAAGGGGCTGTAGCACTCCTGGAAACGAGAGGAAGCGACACAGCGAGACCTAGTCACAACGCTGACTCATGCAACTCTAATTACAGCGTTTTCATGTGAAATGACAACTTTCCCATGACATAATTCCAGCTTATTTGTGTTTTGTTTTTTGCATGAACTTCCTCATTGAGGTTTCATTGCACAGCCATCGTGATCTATTTGCCACGGAGCAGATTCAGTGTGTCAGCTGTGGGTTAGGAGACTCCTCAAAGGATAAATATGAGCTCACTGGTCTCATAGATGTTCAATCTGGGAAATTTAGAATCGGCCTTACAAAGAAAAAAATCAATCACTGAATCAACTCACTTCTATTTTAAGTGCTCCTAGGACAGGAAATATATCATTAAATGCATTTATTTTCACAGCAAGGTTGTGTTTAAGCTAAAAACAAAACAAAACCCTGTTTCGACACACGACCACGAACACACTGAATCTTTTCTAGTGATGCTCCACCAACAGGAGCAGTCTCCAAGCATTCAACCAAATTCAGCTGAAATCAGGCAAGAAGGAGAACAGAGAGCAGCAGCAAACATAGACAACATAAATGCATTTATAAAGGCAAATAAAGGTTAGGAGAAATAAGTAAAACTCAGGTACCGTTTAAGCCATGACATTTAGCAAGCTGTTATTTATAAATCCAGAAAAGCTTCCCTTTAATTAAGACGCCTTCGTCTGCCACATCTTTGCAGTAAAAGACAGATGTGGCCAGTGTTAATATAAAAGTCCTGGTAATGTCTTACCTGTGCATGTGGCATATTTGTGTTCTGCTATTCTATCACCAATAGTCTTTTTATTGTCTAGGTTAGACGTAACCTGGCTGTGAAAATAAAGGTATTTTAACTTTATTTTGAAAAGGGACTTCCTTGGTGTTAAAGGATGTAAATTCCTCTTAATCTCCTTATAAACTCTCATGGTGTTCTCCAACCTTTCTGACCTTTTTCAGAGCAGATTAACCTGAAACGACCCGCAAGCCTAACGCATCAATTAATGCTGCAACTCTTGATCAAGTAAAATGCAACACTCACCCGACATACAAAGCACTGTGGGTGCCAGAGAGAGTTTAGAGCTGAGATGTAGTTTTCCAGGATGGGCTGGCTGCAGCCTTGACAGCGGGAAGCAAACAGAGTCAAGAAGCACTGCTGGCAGTACTGCTGGCCCTCACGGTCATGGAAACCTGCAGAGGACATCGCCACAGTTTGACTCAGCTCAAGAGCTCTTTTGATAAATGTCAGATTTACTGTATAATATCACAGATTTAAAAAGGGAAATCAGTCCAAACCTTCTCTATGTGACTGCGGTTTGTGCAACATTACATTTTATTGATCTGAACTAACAACGGCCGGCTGTATTTTTCCATCTCAGAGCTCGTGCTGCTTTAAATTTGGCTATTTTCTTGCCAAGGAAATACAGAGACTCAGTGTTTTGCCTCGAAATTCACGGCAGAGTGAAACTGCCGATATAACCCCGATCCCAAAAAAACGTTAGGAAACCGTGTAAACTGGAAATAAAAGCGGAATGCAGAGATTTGCTAATGTTTTCGACCTCATATTTGAAAACAGCACAAAGACAAATTGTCAGATGTTGAAAGTGGTCATTTAAACCAATTTTCAAGCTCTTAACACTATCATGAACCAAATCACTGAGAACCTGCACAGACAATTTAGGAATAATGTATCCAAAGTTTTTACAAATTAAAAGGAATGTAAGGTTTTAATCAGTTAACTTGCACAATGTCAATAAAAAAACTCACAGAAGAAATCTCTGTGGGAAATGTACAACCTCAAAAACAAAGTGCTGTTATCTTCTGACCCTTAAGTAGTTCTGCCTTACAAAAATGACAAGATTGCTGCTTGGCTTCAGGAATACTTCTGAAAACTACTGTCAGTCCATCCCTGTCTCTGCAAATACATTTTAAAACTCTACCATGCCACGAAGCTCCCAGCACACAGGGTCAGTGCTGATGTTAATTCCAATCTGCAGTTACTGAGACAGCAGAGCGTCGCCGATTTTGTTGCTCCTCAGCAACTTTGCCTGATCTGTCAGTTCATGGCTGAGCTGCTGTGGTTCCTAAATACTTTCACTTTTAAATAAGCACCACGTAAACTCGATGGTGGACTATCTGAAGAGGGAGGAAATTTCACAATCTGACCTCTTGAATTCGCATAGACATAGGCTGCCGGGGGATTCCCATGATGCATTGAGTTTTTCCTTTCCAGTCACCTTTCTCACTCACTATGTATTAACAGACCTCTCTGCATTGAATTATATCTGTTATTAACCTCTGTCTCTCTTCCACAGCATGTCTTTTATCCTGTCTTTCTTCTCTCACCCCAACCGGTCGCAGCAGATGGCCGCCCCTCCCTGAGCCTGGTTCTGCCGGAGGTTTCTTCCTGTTAAAAGGGAGTTTTTCCTTCCCACTGTTGCCAAAGTGCTTGCTCATAGGGGGTCATATGATTGTTGGGTTTTTCTCTGTATCTATGAAGCGCCTTGAGGCAACTTATGTTGTGATTTGGCGCTATATAAATAAAATTGAATTGAATTGAATTGAATTCGACGAGTTCTTTAGAACGACGCATTCCTTTACAAATGTTGCAACGACAGACTGCATGGTTATACACCAGCATTCAAAGATTAAGAGGTGTGGCCTTAAACCCTTCAGTTATATAACGTGATATGAACGTAGATACAAAAACATGGCCGCCTACAGTCATGGACACTGCAACTTTGTTATCTTTTCAAAAAATTAGTAAATTTGTGCAAATGTCTGAATATCTGTCAAGACCCTACTAGTCATGAAACATTCAGACAGGATGTAGCCTTTTTTAATGTAAGGTTAAAATCAAATGTTTTAGGGTCTCTTATGGGAGAAAAGGCACCAATGAAGTGCAAACTGTAAGTTATTATAAACTCTGAAACTGGTTGTAATGTTTAAAATAATCTAATAATTTAATAAATGAGATAAGATGTGCTTTATTTACCGCAAAAGGTAGGAATTTCCTGAAATATATATAGTATAAAACTTTCAATAACATTATAAAATCCTGTCTGAATGCTAATGGATGTATGGTATAAAGGGCTTCATGTAAGTGTGGCCTGACTGCAATGTATTGTTACCCCTGACAGGAATTAACAGCACCACCCATTACCTTCCTCTCCAAAGGCGCGGCTGCACTTCACACAGCAGAAACACTCTGGGTGCCAGTTCTTGTCCAGAGCCGTGACCATTTTCTACACAACGATTAAAGTGAAAAAAAGAGAAAGTTACAGAGCTTTAGGTGGGCTGTGATATCGATCTGAGCTCTTTAAATAAGCTCAGAGTTGAGTAACAGAAACATGTTCCCATCTCAGCGGCTCACGTTCAGTATGGGTTTGTTGCAGTGCGCGCAGTGAGGGGAGAACAGCGTGAAGTAGTCCGGCTCGCAGTACGGCCGCCCGTCCTTCTCGAAGAAGTTTCGACTGCCCAGCTCCGTCTCACACTCGGTGCACACGAAGTGCTCGGGGTGCCACACCTTCCCCAGAGCTGTCACCACCTGCACAAACAGCCAGGTCAACTCAAGTGAGGGTCTTCCTCATCACATGTCTGACAGATATATTCTGACTGCTCACCTGTCCGACAACCGGCTTTTGGCAGGCTGAGCAGTTCCCCTTAGAGGACGTTTGCACTCCTTGTCGGGTCAGGTCTGATTGGAGGAGCCCCAGCATGCTGTCCAGTGAGCCTCCTGATGAAGGAGGCTGAGGAGGGGCAGCGGCCGGCTGCTGCGGTGATGCTGTAACGGGCGCTGGAGTGACAGGCGCAGCTGGCTGAGAGAAGACAAAGCACAGAGTCCTTATGATGTTAATTCTTTGGGAGTTTATCATCACTCCACAGATGGTGGAAATGAATTTGTTTGGAAGAAACCAATGTGAGGAAAAGTCAAATCATAACAATACTGCACATAGTTTGAGCCAAGGCTCTACACATGTCTCTCTGCTCTGCCTGGAGACTTTAGCCTGGTTAGTCATGGATATGCAGTGGAGACGTTTCCTTTTTAAGACTCTGTTCCCACAGCAGTCTTGTTTATCACTCACAGCTGGACTGCATACTGAAACTAAACAGCCTTATAATGACAGAACTGCCTGCTCTGCTCGCAAGCCGACTCACCAAAAAGGAGAGAACTAGATTATACGCTGTTCCAAAAGCTGATCTTTAAGCTGATCTTTAAGCTGACTACCGACAATCTGAAGCTATTTTAGACTCTGGAAAAATTAAGACCAGGACTAATTTTCATCCACAAGCCATATCTGGTGACTGATCTGTACCAGCAGGCATGTGCTGTGGCCAGCAGGCTGCACAGTAACAGTGTAGCCATTATGAAGTCAACTCAACCTCTACAGGGATCCAACACTAATATTAGCATTCTGTGAAAGTCATATAGTGAGCGCCGCTGTGAATTTACAAGTAAAAAGTTGACAGGTTAGCATTTTCATGCAGCTGTGGGTGACTCTTACGGTGCTCTGGACTCTGAAGTCAGACAGCGAAGCCATCAGCTTGTCCAGTTCCAATGTGGCCGATGTTGCAGAAGGCTTCACAGAGCTAAAACACCGAAATCAAACCCACAGATTACACACATGATCAGAAACATGCTAAAATGCTGCACACTCGCACATGTGCAAATATGGATTTTTACTTGCAATAAAAAAATAATACTGCAGGTTTTTAAATGTAAGCAGATTTTAAAAGGGTGTGTCTGCATAAAACAGACCTACTTCCTCAGTCGTATACAGTGATACTCAGACAGATTATACTCTCTTATTTCCCTGTGGATTTGGTACCTGGAGGAGGAGGTTGGTGCTTTATCCTTGATATTATCCCTCTCATCTTTCTTAGAAGAAGGGAACTGAGCCAGGATCTCATCTGACAACAAAACAGGATCATAGATAAGAAATCTGATTTAAACACGAGGATTTAAAACACACGCACACATGCTAACCTGTGATGTTAAACTGGGTGGCGTTGAGTTCCTGTAGCAGATGGTCCAGTTCACTCAGACCTCCCCCCAGCAGCGAGGAGGAAGAGAAGGCCAGAGGAGGATCTGCGCTTCGGGGAGAGCGCGGTTTACACACTGTGCTGCAGGGAGACAGATAATATTAACAATAAAAGGCATTAAAAAAACAAAGTATAAACAATGTTGTTGGACTCCTTATGCGAGGAGGAGAATTCTCTCGCTTGCTTAAAAAACACACATTGCTTTGCAAAGAGTGATGTAAAGAAAATGAATGAGATTCCTAACAGGGTTTGGGTTCATACATCAACATGCTGACACACCATCTCTCCGTGTAAAACACTCTATCCCAGTCCATCAAAACTTCACATGCCAGCTGTGCTCAAAATGTGCAACTCTGCAGCACATCCTGAGCTGCTTCCCTGAGACAGAGGGACACTTTAGGCACCCTGATTAAGTCCTGAGGGTCACCCAGTGGAAAAGAAGCCATTACCATCAGCTAGCACATCTGGGACCGGCAGCTGCTGGTGGATTAGAACAAACACATTTTCATCAGATCATCACACCCAACTGGCGGAAACCAGTTGCTGTTGTGTTAGAGTCCTTGGGATATTTCATTATGCTAGAGGCTAACACCCGCCCAGGATTATTGCTTTGGTGGGTCTTTAAGAAGAAGCTCCCTAAGTACGAGCAGATAGCTGAAAGCAGGGAAGCTGCTGTCCTTGGATTTCATTACACTGGGCATCGAGGGAAAACTGAGGAATCTGCAACACCACACATGTGGTAGAGAGAGCCTCGAGATGGCTGTGGCAAGAGAGGAAAACCATGGAACAAACAGGTAGCAAGCCATCTGGACACAAGCTGAGGTCTGATCACCTTCAGCTGGGCAATTTAGAGGAAAGAGCCAAAACAACTATGATGATGTGTTGGCTTGTGGTATTTTGAACAAGGCTAAAAGCAGCAGGAAATTTAGATGCCTTAAACCTGGCTCAGAATTACATGTCATACAGTTAATTCTTCTTTTATTAGGTACTCCACGCTAGTTCAGGTCCTTCAGAACTGCTTTAATTCTGTGAGGCGTAGATTTAACAAAGTGCTGGAAACATGTCTACATGCCAAAATACACTGAGTTGCTGCCGTGTGATTGGCTGTTTAGATATTTGTGTTTACAAACAGCAGAACAAGTAATGAATTTGCCGGTGATCCTGTGAGCAATGGAAAAAGACATCTAGGAAGGAGTTACCTGTATAATTTGTCAGGGGTGGAGTTCTGTGTAGTCTTCATTGCTGAAGAAACGGTCTAAGAGACAAAACAGACGAGTGATCAAACAAACTTTATCAAAGCCTCTGCATAATCAGGAAGAAAGAAAACTGGTATGAACGTGGCCCGGATTGACCACCTGCTGCGGGGTGTATGCAGGAGGCGGCGGCCGGCTCTGGGCTGGGTCCTGGGTGGTGGGATCGGCATTTTGAGGCGGGTCAGAGGTGAGCAGGACGGGACACCGAGGTAAAGGGGAGCCTGTGTTCTCCAGATCAGCAAGGAGGGCATCTGGAAGGGAGAGAGAAGTTTCTGTAGCACCACAGAAGCCACATTTCATGTCACAAACATTCATGGTGGACACTAATGGTGCCAAGTTTATTTACCAAGTATTAAAAGTCAATCAAGAGATTCAAGTTAAGAAAGTAATTTAAAAAGCATGCAAAGTATTACGCTGCATGACAAGAAGGTATTAAGTTGAGTTAAACGACAGACGAGACGAAACACATACAAACGCATGCACAGGCAGCTACGTACCAAACACAACAATACGAGGACTGAGAGGGTAGTTAAGCGGCTCAGGCACTCCTGAGGAGACACAGACAGCCTTTTGTGACCAATACAGCAGCAGCAACTCAGCCCACACACCGAGACACAACACGGAGGACAGCGAGCGCTGGCGGACGCTCGTCACTCAGAGGACAGGACAGTCAGAACCGGCGCAGCTCAGAGATAGTCCACTGACGGTGAGGTCGCTCAGACGCTCAAGCGTTCCTGCATTCATATTCTAAACATGCCAGTGTGGAAAGGAAGCAGAGGAGGAAGAGTGTTTGGCAGCTGATATCTGAGTCCACTCCTCCGCCCACACACACTCACACGCTCACTCTGAAGTAGAAGCTGCACAGAAACTAAACTCACTCAAGTGTTAGCATCTACAGCTGTGTGACATCACTTATCCTGACAAGTAACCGAAGCAGACTGAAGATGAAAGAGGACTTCATATGAGTAACAGTGGTTTACCATGTATGTGTAATGACATAGCAACCATTTATTGTGAGTCCTGAAAGGGTACCAGTCCCTTTTTTTAAAAAAACTTTTATATTATCAAAATGAAAATTTTGGCCTTCCCTTCCAAGAAGTTAAAATAAATAAGAAAGGTCAGTCCAGTTGTAAGCTGGTTCCAGACTGACGCAGAAGACTTGTGTTACCTCAGGGCTACTGAAGTCAAGCACACAGGAGTGACACTTTTTACCAGACAGAGGCTTTTTGTGCTGTATTTTAACACTTTAACATGATAGGAATGGAAAACAGGCTTATCGATAGAATTCCTTAGCCAAAGCCAGACAACAAAATATCCCGACTTTTGATCCCGTGTACAAACAAATCCAATCATGTGGCTGACAAACATCCTGTCTCGAGTGCTTGAAGAAAGGCATCTGGACTTAGTTTGTGAAGATGTTTTGCCTCTCATCCAAGAGCTGACGGAGAGTCCCAGGTATTTAACAGCTACAGGGGAGGCAAAACATTCACCCTGTGGCAGCTGGGAGAGGCTAAAGGGCCCCGAGACTCTGAAGTGGATAATCGGAAAAGAATGGATGGATGGTAAAAAGTCCACTTGCTTTAATTTCTGGACCTGGATGCCTGAGAACTCAAACTTAATGTCCTCAATTTGTAAAGCCCAAGCTAACGTAACCATAACAACATCATTGTGACATCATCAGCAGATGTTAGAAATGTGCAGGTGTACGACGTGAGAGCGTGCAAAGTGTTCGAAAGCACTTTATCTAAAAAAACTTTGGAAGCTTGTAAATTAGGTCTGAGGATCCTGATAACAGATGGTGGATATTTAAAATCCCAAATTTCTTTAAAAGACCTTCAAATGTTTTCAGTAAACAGTTTACAGTGATGCAATATCTATTACATTTTGGTTAAAAGAAAAAAAAAAAAGTACTTTCTTGGGGGGGTTCTGGTACTTCTGTATTATTACGAGTCATGCAAGTCAGAGCTTTGTAGAAAACAATAAGGTTTTCCAGTCTTGATTACTACTTGGAAGCAGGTGAATGGTCTTTCCATGAAACCTCCTCCCAAAGCCACGGATGACACATCTCAGGCACTCCTCAGATGTGGAGCAACTGCTTCATCTAGTATTATCACACTCTTTCTTGTATTGCAGCTGTGACTCAGTGTGACAGACGAGCATTGCACAACTGGTTTTCTTAGTTATTGATGTAGAAAAAGAACAGCATTTAGTCACACTGCCAGATAATTCCGGCCTATTTAATGGATGAAATTTGACGTGTCCATTTTCTGCATGCTGATTTACGAGCTGCAGGTCAGAGTTCATTCGTGGCTTTGGAGAAACCGTCACAGGGTGACTTCCCATCTAAAGCAGCTACGCAAGGCTCGTCACATTATGAATCATGAATTTCTAATTCAGAATCTGGTGAAGTGCTATGTTCTAAACCTACGCTGCTCGGCCATGTGTCACAAAACTCGAGTTTGCCCGGCCCGAGCGCACCGCTGTGGTCATTTCTACCCCGGATGATTCACACTTCTGGTACGACCATGCGGTGAGAACCGTGTGCATATACTACTGGCCCTCCACCTCCCTGCTGTGCTGTGTGTCTCTCACACACACACAGACACACACACACACATACTCGAAGAGGCTGAGCAGCACATATAAGGAGCTGAACTTCTCTCAATGGGAATTATGACCATATTTAGAGCGGCCTGCAGACTTGTTTGTCTTGGCCGTAGGCCTCTCTAACAAGTGGTCTCTCTCTCGCCGAAAGCCTCGCCAAATCCGATGCGTAAACTTACAACACTGTTGGACGACAGCGCAAGCCAAGACTCTCAAACATGGCGCTCAAGCCCAGCACCTCCGTGTCACCGTGTGCAATCCGATCCAGATGTGCCCAGATGTGTACACCATGCCATTTTTTCCCCCTCCTCGTGTTGCTTGAGAAGCACAAATGCTCCACTCTTGAAGCGTACTTGGTGAAAAAACAGAAGAAACTCCCAGAGAGAATGGGCAGCTGAGGCAAAAGCCATGTCTATTTTCCTTGAACTCTGTGGCTTTTACAAATAGCAGCATTGCCCCGGGCTATTTCAGGGCCTTTCCAACACACAGCTATTTTCTGACACAAAGAGTCAGCTTCCCATCGTGTTGTTTTAGAGAAAAGAAGACATTTGCTTCCAGTATCATTCAGAAATGGGGGGGATGCTCTCTGATGCTGTCTTCTCTCATGTCTTCAATTCCTTCAAAATGGAAAACACTCTCTTCAACATTATGTGGCACTCCATCCATCCATAACTTGTTAATGTTAATGGATGGACATGCCTGCTCTGGACCCCTTTAAATCGAATTTTCAGAGCTTTTTATTGTATTTGCAGGCCGTGCAGGAAGACCCGAGTGAAGGTCGGGCAGATGTAGAGCAGTGCACGGGTTCATGTGTTACCTGCATGTATTTGTGGGTATGTGCCCCTGCACAATGAAGGTAAAACACAGCTCTACAAACATCTAAAATATTGGCATGTATGAGTTATTATAAGAAATTTCCTCACTGTTGCTGACTGGGAACTTGTACCACTCATTTTTTTAAAAAAGTATTTCCTACTGCTTTCCATTGCTCCTTATGTTACAGCCCCTCTTTTCTACATGTCCTTGTAAGCCAGGGATCTGTACTCTATGACTGCCAGAATCAACAGAGACCTTATTTCCTCTGTTTGGGCACACCACCCCTTCCCCACAGATCCCTTCAAGATATCTCAACATGTAGTTACAAGGCATGAAACGAAGAGCAGCTGTAATACTCACCCAAATCCTCCATGATAGGATCTCAGCCGACTGTTTCCCTCTTTGTGACACAGCGCAGACACCATTAATCAGTAGTGATGACCGTGGATCACAGCTGGATAGAAGGTCTCGGCGCTATTGTCTGCGTCGGTCCTGAATAACTTCTTGGGCACCGTTATCCGCCAACAGAAGGAGGAGGAGGAAGAGGAGGAGGGCGTCCCGTCTCTTTTTTTTCCAACACGGCTCTCTTCCTGTGTAATGCCTACCAGGACCTCAGAGCGAGGAAGGCGTAGTTAAATAAATGCGGTTACAAACTCGCATTCCCCGGACACGAGACGTCACCCTGGACATTCCTAGTCCATATTTGGGATCGAAAATTAAGGATTTAGTGGCTCTAAGAGAGGACGCGCCGCTGCTTCTGCTGCAAGCGTGTAGTTCTGAAAACAGAAAATATTGGAAATGACGCTCATTTTCCCGGTTTTGTTTTCGTTTTCAGGGTTTTAATACCAGGACCTTCCCAGTTTTGGTTTCTTTACGTACTTGTTTCATTTCCGTGTGCGTGCATAGGACTAAAAATCCAACACAATATTAGTGAGATATTAGTGATTCACACTTTGAAAGCGTTTTTTTCTTTTCCTTTTGGGTGTGTGGGGTATTTTTTTTATAAGGCTATAGAAAAAGAACAGAAACTATACGCGTATCCCAAAGCCAGCTTTCAAAGTTTTCTCCGCTCAGTATATCCAATTTTTTGTTTTATTGAATTTTATTTCAATTCTTAAGTCAGACTTATTCGAATTAATACACAATAAAATTTTAAATTAGGAGAAACGGAAAAGTCACCTGAAATAAAAGAACTTAAGCGGTACAGAGGCCCAAACCAACAGCCCTTCCTAAAATCACCACAGATCAAAACCTGGACTGTGTATGAGAGTGCTCCCTGACACCATTTTTGTGATTGTTTTATGACAAAAGCTTTATTTAGAAACATAAAGGCTAAGAATGAATGTGTCAGACTTTTGAAGGAGCACGACACTGGTAAATTATGTTAAGGTTAGTGATGTAATGTTAACTATACTCAGATGGTGGTGGTGATGCAGAAACTTCTTTCACGGTTAATGTTTAGACGTGCCACTGCAGGGCGTAACCTATGGTCGTATTACAGGTGGAGGTCTGGCAGCTGTGCATCAGCTGTGTTTCCCTCTCATGGACCCTAAATAGAACTAAAATCATCTTTAATGCCATAATTTCTACTTGTGGTGTTTTCTGCTACGAAAAGTCCAAAGCCCTAATCCCTGCTGCATTCCTCTGGTTCCAGGTAAGCTTTTCACTCTTGCAGCTTCAGGTTGTTTTAACATGACAGTGATATGGTGAAAAACAACTCATTAAGTGACTCATTCCAGTCACTTAACTGGACCTCTACACTACATTTTTGCTGGCAATGCCTTTTGGAGAATTTTAATTAGTGTAGAAGTTAGGACCAAATATCAACAGCTCAAAATAAACCTGGTGCTTTTTGGATACCTCCTGGAGGTTTGAAGGGGGGCCTTTTTGTTGATTTGAGCTTTAATTTTACGGTGAATCTATATTATAAAAGAAAAACTGTCCATCCTGTTCTACAAATCCCAGAAAGAAAATAGCAGTTTCACAGTTTTTAACATATCACAGAATAAAAAGCACAAGTGTAAATAATACAATTTAAATATGACAATTTGTTATACCTGCTTACTGTGCATGCCGGCTCACATATGGGCTGGACAGAGGCATTGTTAACGTCACTATCACACCTGTATATGAGTTTTGTGACTTCTACATCATCAGTGATTTCGATTTTACCCCCAAAACAGAAACACATTTTTTGAGCGATACATAAATCAAATGAAAAAGCAAATATGATGCAAATTAGAACTCACATATGCAATTTAATATTTAAGTTCTCTCTTTTTTTAATTTGTCAAGGATCAATAAACACTCCTTTGTCAAAAAGTTAAAATTTTCTGGAAATTATTTCATGGTTCAGGCTTTACATGGTTGTAAGAATCACTGCTACAGCCCTGCCCAGTGCCTCCAACACAGATCAATACACTGAATTACTGATTTATTCATTAAATACTGACACAAACTTAAAAAACATAAAAAACAAACAAACCAAAAAGCAGTCAGAGTAAAAAACCAAACAGGAAAAACTTTTAATTAAGCAAGATCACAGTTACAGGCTATGCATGTGTAATAAGGGGAAGATGCCACGTAAGTGTTGGTGACTTGTGATGTGTGCATTTACAAAATGAAAAGTTTAACACAAGAAACGCTCCTCCTGTGTATATACTGTATGTCACAGACAGAATATCCTTTGACCAAACAACTAAAGAAGAAGAAAAATAATCCCTCTGCTGTCCAAGAGGTACCTGCCTTTGGTCTCAGTGCGTGAAACACAACAAGGGACTAACGCGTGAAACAAACCGAAGAAACAAAATGATGATGAAAACAAAAATGAACGCAACTATCTTACAGACATTCTTCCTGGTTTACGATCGAATCAGAAATGTACAACGAAAAGTGGGAATCAGACCAGAGAAACGAATCAGTGGTAGGTCTATCTGCTTCTGTGAATGTAAAGCCTTTGTTTTGAGTTTGTTCATGCATTTGCTGATTCACACACTGGACTCTTACCCATGCATGTTAATTCTAGAGCACTGTGACACACAACTACGCCTCCACCCTTTCCAAAATATTAATGATAATAATTAGAATAACTCAACACATACACACACACACACACACGCACACACACACGCACGCATACACACAATCACACTTTCCAAACCAACTTCTTCACTCGGTGCTTAGGAGCAAATTCAAGGAGCTGAACTGCATGTGATGTGGAAATCAATAGAGTTAAAAAACAAACAAACAAAAAAAACAACAAAAACGTGTGGGGAGGATGTTGAGATGACAACATGAAGGTAACATGGATCGGCTTGGTTACCTAAAACGTCCCCATCCAATCAAATGAAACTATTTTACACATCCTCCACCCCGCTACTTCTTCACCGCAGTTAATCTGCACACTGCCACTTCCATCCTTCCCGCCGATGCTCGCTTCCTGCCTCTGCCATCACTGCACTGCCTGTTCATTAGCAGTGCTACCAGAGTCCTGAGGCTTCATCACATCAGGGAGTTCCGGGGGGCTGGAAAAGGCCTCGATGTGCAGCTGCTCAAACATCTCATCTGCAGGGCACAGAGACAAGGAAGCATGAGCTCCATCGTGACAGCAGAGTTTAATGTGGCTGCACATAATAAAAGGTTGCTGAAATGAATCTTTACTGTAGAGCAAGTGTATCCAGGGGAAAATCCTTCAAAACAGATTCATGCTCGTGTAACTAAGGACAAGCTTTGCTCAATGCACTTAAAGGTAGAAGTGCATAATTTGAGCCACAGCTTTAAGGCACGGGGACTCGGGTTACACGCAACACATTTTAATGCCGCTGAGGGCCCTTTGTGCATGCTCTTAAATATAACTGCTGATAAATCCACGCTGAAAATCTACAATGAGTCTTCTTGAGTTAGTTACAGAATAAAATCACACCTTAATTTTTAAGGAATGAGTTTTGAAGGAGAAGTTACCTTGAAGCTTTCTTTTGAGTGACACACAATACACTCATTCAGTGATGCGATTTACAGTACTGTGCAAAAGTCTCGAGCCACCTCTCATTTCCTAAATAAATACAGTATGAGAGGCAAAAAGACTAAAAAATAAATAAATATATATTTTTTTTAAAAATAGAAAAGTAGACATGTTGTTGTGCTGAAGACCACAGATTACAGTGCAAAAGAATGGATTAGTCAGTCATTCATCATGGTTGTCTACTGAAAAACACTGTTGCTAAATGAGATCAGTGATGGTTTATTAAGAGAATAGCACAAACGTTTTCCACCAGTTGTGCTACTAATATTAAAAAAAAAAGAGTCATACTTCTTGGTAAAACGGAAAACTACTCTTTATGACAGAGGAAAATTTAGTACACATCAGAACTGAGAACATCACTTGATTCTCAAATTGTATTCCTTCTCAATAATTACACTGTTTCCAGGATTACATGTAGCATATAACCTTTTATGAATCTTCAACTCAAATACTTTAGAACACAGGTGGGGAACTCTGGGCCTCAAGGGCCAGTGTCCTGCAGGTTTTAGGTATCACCCTGGGTCAACACACCTGAATCAAATGATCAGTTCATTATCAGGGCTCTGGAGAACTTGAAGACATGTTGAGGAAGTAATTTAGCCAACAGAACAAGCAACAGTGCTTGAGTGTCTGTCTTCCCAGAATGATGCTACGGCCAGTGCACTACTTATATAATGTAACTGTGCAAAAGAAAAGGAAAAATGCCTTTAATTTGGCACAGGACTTATCAGAGGAAAGCAGAGTTTCTGTGACAGTTTGAAGGAGATTGCACAATGTCAATTTCCAAGCATCACAACCTGGGGAATAAATAAAAACCCTTACTTGAGCTTCAGAACAAAAACTTCAGATTCACCCTTCCTAAAGAAATAAAAAGATAGCTTGCTTGCGAATACTTTGAGTCCTTTCTTTGCTCAAATGGAAATAAATCTGTTAGGTTCACATAAAAACACCAGCGTGTCTGACATGAACAAAGCAGACTGCCAACATGACACATTAGTTCCTTAAGGAGAAAACAGTGAAACTATAAGCTGGCCAAGTATGTTGCCTGACTCAAATCCAAGAAAACACTACTGGGGTATTTTTAAGACAAAAAGAGAACACAGGCTCTCCATGTTAAAGAAACTGTCTCTAAAGAAAGGAAGAACATCTCTATATAAAAACAAGGAACAATGGTATCATCCACCAAATGTAAAGGTGGACATCTCAAATTATCTCAGTAATAAAACGTGTGTTTCCTATAGGTGAGTTCCTATAGTGAAGCCCGTATTTTAATAAAGAAAACTGAGGTATTTTTAGCTGCTCCCTTATTTCCCAAGAAGCCGCCTTAATAGAGGGAGCCACATGTTTGATTTAGAACAGATTTTACACCAAATACCCTCCCTGACGTTACCCTCCCATTTATCTGGGCTCGCACTGGCAGTACACAAGCTTGCAACCCCCTGAGGCAGGATTTGTGTCTCCTCAGAAGGTCATTCACATGTCTTAACCACTACACCGCTACTTTAACACTGTAACTCTAAACTGTTCTGATTTTAAATAAAGAGTAAATACATGACAGTTCAACTCTGAGAACGATTTTTATACTAAGATATTTAAGCAATGGTTCATAGGAATGTACTCATTTTTGCTGTGTAGTGTACCCCTGATCTTTAAAACCAAACAAACAGCATAACCACAACATACCATTAATACGAAAGGCCAGACCGACTGTAGCTGGGGCTTGAGGTCTGGCAGTCTGGTTGGTGAATCCAGAGTCACCCAGAGTTTTGCTATCCTCTAGCAGCTGATCATCCTGTAATACAAAAATATCATGACCTCAGAATATAAGAAGATAGTCCAACTAATATGCAGAGCGTGTTTCTGATAGAAAATATTTAAGTAAGCAATGTTTATTTACAGAGTTACAAATTACTGCACAGGAAAACAAGTGAAAACTGGGAATAATCACAATAAAATATATTAGATACTTAAAACATAGTTCAATAGCAATACAAAACCAAAAATATTACAACACAATCTAAATACTTAAACCAAAAAGGTTTCAACAACTTTTTCATGAAGTCTAAAGAGCGAGCTAAATATAGCTGGAGTGGCAGACTGATCCATAGTCTTGGCTGCCACAGACTGAAAGGCTCTATACCCCAGTCTACAATCTTATATGAGGAACAACTAATGTATTTTGAGCAAGTGAGAAGCAGTGTGTTTAATGAGAAACTGAGTAGTAGTCTGAGCTTGATTTAGTGCTCTGTATGTAAATATGAGAATTTTAAAACAAATTCTAAAATCAACTGTGAGCCGATGTAAAGAGCATAAAACAAAGAATGTGAGCACGTCTGTATTAGGGTCTGGATGCAACATTTTGTATCATTTGGAGGTATGAAAGAGATGATTAATCTAAGCGGGTAAATAGGGTGTTCCAGTAATATAAGCATGAAGACACAAATATATGAACAATTATCTCCAGTCCAGCATGGAAGACCATAACTTTGGAAATCTTCCTTTAATGAAAGAAACCAGAAAATGACATAAAATATTACAGAGCGATTACAAACACTAGACTTCAAAGATGAACAAAAGGAGGCAATCGCTTGACAGGTTCTTGAATATATTTTAGGAGGAGTTATAATCCTGGTCTCAGTCTCACTGAAGATTAAAACAAGGTAACTGCTGGAAAGCCAAACATTAAATCATTATAAACAATTAGCTAGGGTGGACAGTCTATCCAGCTGGTGAGGCTTAAAAGACATTTCAGCATGGACATGACAAGTAATGCCCCCGAAAGATTTGAATGATCCCAGCTAAAGGAAGGATGTAATAGGCCCAGGTTTGAGCCTTGTGAAACTCCACAGGTTAGAAAAGCTATTTGAGATCAAGCAATATGAGCACAGAACAATGTCCCACATCAGATGCCAGCTTTTAAAAACCTGCCTGAAAGGGATCAGAAATCTGTCATAGGTAAAAGAATCTAAATAGATTTTCCACAACTGCAAATTTTTCTGATAATTTCCTATTCAATGGTAATTTTGAAATAGGTCAATAATTACCAATATTTACCATGAGGTTGAAGTTTGTTGGGGTAATATTCAACTACTGTGAATGTTAACATTAACACTGGCTACATTCTGGCAAAATTAAAGTGCACATTTAGTCTTTCTGATGCTGTAAGCTCACTTTGTAGAGTCGCTGGTCCTCGGGTGGTCTTTTAAGTATTCCCTCGACAATACGCTTCAGCTCATAGACAGTGGTGGACTCCTTGGCATCTGTGAAGATTGTGGTCTTGTGACGCCGGATCATTAAGAACACGTCCTGAAAGGAAAAAAGGGGGGCACACATTGTAAAAACCAGCTACAGTTGCTCATTTACCAAGAAGTTGAGGATTGGGTTCTATGAAACGTTACTCCACATTAAGAACGTCTATCCACAAAAATATAGTTCTTGAGTAAATATATATTATGACCAACAATAACCCCGTTTTACTAGACAAAACATCTCATTAGGCCACGAAACTCGTTAATATTGCATGCCTATCCGAAACTGCTTAAACACCTAACCCGACTGTACAGTAAACGCGAAGATTTTTAAAAGGTTATATTACATGAAAATTTGATAGCGGATTCTGTAATAGATATTCTGATAAGTGTCACTTCATTTATTCATACGCTAGCAAATAACAGTGAACAGTATGAAGCAGACGTAGCTCTGGGCTAGCGCGATATTAGCCGACACGTCAACTGTTTTGATAGTTCGGTGGAAAACAGCCCCAGATAACACACGGAATAGGTCTGACAAATACAGTACACACTCAGCTAACCACATGATATTGCCTGGATTAATTAGCTAGCTAGCGTTACAGCATTTCCAAGGTTAGCTGAGCTAAGTTCCCTCGCTAGCTACACCCCCTCGGTTATGGATGGAAAGGCTAAGCTAGCAAAGCAAAAGTGAAATTAACATTTCTATAGCCAACAGTATCCGCTGTTATTATCACGTTAATACGTTTGAACACATCGCCGAACATTAACAGAGTGTCGAAATCTACGTACGACTCTCCCGAACTAATCGGCAATAATATTAAAGTTACCATTTCAAGTGGTCAGCTAGCTAGCCAGTTACGCCAGCTCTGTGTTTTGCAGCAAAAGCCCAGACTGCACTGCTCTCGGATATTGCGCAATGTACATGCGCAACTCGTACATTCCGTATTCACGGAGACCAGCTACGCAGCGCTACGTGAGAGTTTCAGAATTTGGCGCGAGGTAGGTTGACGCTTGAAGGGTGTACGCGCAGGGTTTGGATAGAAGACCGCTGTTTTGAAACCTGTCGTCAAAAGTGGACTATGGTCTGCGAGGTAACGTTTTTTAATTCCGCTTTAATTAACTAGTTAAATATAAAATGTCAGTTAGAGTAAGTTATCTTCACGCGGGTTAGCCAGCTAATCAGGCTGTGTTGTCATGTTTGTTTTGTTCCGCCCGGGGTTAACGTTAGCCACAGGTGTTTAGCTGCGGTGACAGTTGTCATTGCTATAAACTAATGGACAGTATTTGTGCTTCGAGTAATGTTACGTTAACAAAGCGAAAAGTTATGTTGGAAAAATTAATCAGTTGTGTTTTATCAGCGGGTCTTTACTTTCCCCCTGACGCCAGGGGCTGGGCTGGGAAAAGGAATACTTGTCTTCCTACAAATGGGTTTAGTATCAATGGATCGAGAGGACTGTGCCGATACCGATATCAGACAAAAGCTCTACAGCCTGTCAAACCAGATGTACCAGGAGTAGTGCTAAATGGGTGGGGATCAGTCTAGAAAGACCCATTTTTTTGGGTTTGTTTTTTTTAGTCTTCATAAATAATACCTTTTTGCCTTTGCTCTGTGGAGAACTAGATGAAAAGAAACCATTAAAACTGAGCACTAGTTGTGAAAAAAATCAACTTCCAGTTCTGGTGAGGAAATTTATAAATACCCAATGTGGGAATGAATACCATGTTGATTTGGAGCTTTTAATGACTTATTTGAACTGTTGTTTTTCCAGGGTGGAAGGATTGTGCAGCAAACATCTTTAATTACCAAAAACAAAAAACTGGGTGCACAAGTTTGAATTTATTTGGGATTTTCTGTAATCCTGTGTGTTCACTTGTGTTGTCAATGATCCCAATTACATATCAAAACTGGTTTAGGAATGGATAAAGCAGGCTAACCTGGAATGGCCTTCCCAAAGCTCTGACATCAACCCTGTAGAAAATGTACTGATTAGGCTTAAAAGCAGAGTCTGTGCCAGGAAACCAACTAATTTAAATGAATTCTGTCAAGACGAGTGGTCAGATATCCAACCACAATTATGCCAGATGCTTGTTGATGGGTACCAAAGGGGTCTAATCGAGGTGCAACTTGCTCAGGGACATTTAACCAAATATAAGTGGCGGAATATACTCTTGACCTTGTGTGTATTAGAGAAAATCTAAAATAAATCCAAACTCGTTTACCCAATTCTTCTTTTTTACAGCCACTTAAGATGTATGCTGTTAAATCATTCAACTATGAAAAGAGAGTGTATGTAAAATTCTCACCACATCTACATATATGTAGCTGTATGTATTGCTTATGTTTACAATTTTTACTTTTGACTGTTACAGCTTCCTGTCTTTATAGTAAAGAACAGAAAAGGTCGACACAATGTCTGTGGCGGTGGAAACTACAGTGCCGAGGGTGGCTCTCCCTCTTCCAACCCACTTCTCCCACGCGGAGCAGTCCTTCTCTCTCAAAAAGCGCCGGCTGCCTTTTTCCTCGTCGTCTACGTCAAACTCATCCTACTATTCCCCTGCTCGTCTCTCAAATTCTTTGCCTCCGCTGCCACCGTCTAAAGGATGCCCCCCGCTGAGCAGAATGTTTCCTCAGCATCAATCCCCCTGGACACCCCTGTCTAATTCCCTCAGTAAATCTCCAAATTCTGCGTATGATCCCAGCAAACAGCAGTCCTACTTCAATCAGTGCTTTACTAACTTGGGCCTGCTGGGGAGGGGATCATTTGGAGAAGTTTACAAGGTGAGCAAAACACAGATTTAAATAAAGAGAGCTATATAATAACATAATATATTTGGTGTTGCTGTTTCTTCACATCAAGGAAACTGGAAAATTCAGGATTTTAAGTATTTGTTTGTTTATTTTTCCAAAAGTTGTAATTTCTGGATATTTTCTTTTCTCTCTCCAGGTGCAAAGCAACAGAGATGGTCGTCAGTACGCAGTCAAACGCTCTGCTCAGCGCTTCAGGGGTAACAGTGAGAGGAATCGGAGCGTCAGGGAAGCCAGGAATCACGAGCACCTGTGTCCTCACCCTCATATTTTGAACTTCGTGGCTGCCTGGGAGGAGTGCGGCCGACTCTACATCCAGACAGAGCTGTGCAGCACCAGCTTGCTGCATCACGCTGAGAACCAGCCTCCTGGCCCAGGTCTGCCCAAAAACAGTTTGTATCAGCTGTGATTTTGTATAAAACTTCTACATCCTCGTTCATGCTGACTTGTGTTTTTTGCTTGTAAACAGACGAGCCTGCTGCTTGGGCCTACCTGTGCGATCTCCTCTCAGCACTGCAGCACTTACACTCTCATGGCTTCGTGCATCTGGACCTCAAGCCCGCCAACGTCCTCATCACCGCCTCTGGTCGTCTGAAGCTGGGCGATTTCGGGCTGCTGCTTGAGCTCAAACAGATGGGAGCTGCAGGGGAGAAATCAAAGGATGATGTTCAGGAGGGTGATCCCAGATACATGGCCCCCGAGCTGCTGCGTGGGGAGTATGGACCTGCTGCAGATGTTTTCAGGTACATATGTGATTCATTATGTACAGATGTGACTGATCTGATTTGAAATAAGTGTCTAAATATTATCGCATCCTTTTTTATTTAGTTTGGGGGTTTCCATACTGGAGCTTGCTTGTAATATCGAGGTTCCAAATGGTGGCGAGGGGTGGCAGCAGCTCAGGCGAGGCTGTCTCCCCACAGAGTTTACCAACGGTGAGATCTGCTCTAGGAGGCCTCATCAATTTCCTCATCTGATATAATGATTTTTCTTTTAAACTTCCATGTGTGATTGCAGGCCTGTCAGAGGAGCTTCAGACAGTCCTACAGATGATGCTGGCCCCAGAGCCGTCTGAGAGACCCACAGTCTCTGAGCTTCTTGCCCTCCCCTCTGTTAGGAAACGCAGGTGGAGGAGACGCATGTATCTTATGGCTGCTGAGACGATGCTGACACTGGCCTCCCTGTGTCAGGTAACAGAATCACTAAATCCTTTAAATATTAATCTTTTAGGATTGATTATTTTGATTAACAGTTTAGTAAAATGTCCTTGTAAGGATGCCACAGCATTAAAAATAGAATAACTTTATTGTCCACATAATGGGCAGCTGTTTTCGGTTCACCAAGCCACAAATCAACCAATCAGTTCATGAATCCTGGGAGATATCGGCCCACATTCATAGATATGCATATCTATAAATTCAATACAACTATAGAAATACACCACAGCATCTTATTATTTAGCATGCTGATTGCATTTGGTACAAATGATCCCTTATACCCCTTTAGCTAGAGGGATCCTATAAAGTTGTCCTGAGAACATTAATTCAAAGTCAGAATAATGGGGGTGTTCACGGTCAGCAACAATAGACCGAGCTTTCCTGAAGATGGTCTGATGACACAGCTTAGCCAATAAAGTTTGTTGTCAACCAATCATTTTTCCAGAAATTCTGACAATCCTGTTTATTTTGCTATTGTGTTCCTGTTTGCCACAGTCAGGCTACCAAACCAGGCTGAGATACTGAACGTAAAATCAAGCTGACAAACTCTTTCCAAAACGTTGTGCCTAACTCCGAAACCTCTTGACGTCCTGATAACAATGAATCTCTGATTAGCTTCCTTGTAAATGGATAAAGCATTAATCATAAAGTTGATCTTGCCATCAATATATATAAAGTGGAAAACCTGTCCATCGGGTCTGTGTTATTCAAGTCAAACACGTGTTGTGGACATTAATCAACAAATAACAAGATTTAAACCTCTCTTTCAACCTATGAACCTGAACAAAATAGTTAGAGTTCCTATAAAAACAAAAGACAATCATCAGCATATTTTAACATTTTCACATTCCCTGCATGTCATTTAAACAGAAAATAACAATAGTGATCGAACACACCCTTGAGGATCCCCCGTACTAACAATGGTTTCACCAAATAAAACATGATTAATACAAAGCTTTTCAGATGATCAGTTAGAAAATCTCTAATCCAGTGAATCAATCCTGAAGTTAATTTAGCCTGGCCAATTCCAAACTTCAGCCTTTAAAGTTTACTTTCCTCAACCTTGACAAATACATTTTTCTATATTTTCTTTTCTTCATAGATCGTAGTCTCCTTTGGGTGTAGATTCCTCTCCTTCTTTCGCTTGCCCTTCCTCCCTCATTGGAACAATCCAGCTCCCTGCACTCCTCCTAAAGACAGTTGGGACAGGGATTTAACCCTGCCTCTCAGTGCCATGCATACTGACTCCGGGACCCCAGAAGAGGATGCAGTGTTTTTTCATCCCACAGACCCAGAACTGTCCCCCACCTTCTCACAAAGGTAGAGAATTATCGCATCAATAGGATGGAAGAAAATTTTTAAGTGAGTATATTTGTTCTGTTTAACTCTCCTTTTTTATCTTCCTTTGTTTTCATGTCACAGGGTAAAATCCAGATTGTCTGTAGAGAGCACATCCACGCCTCTCCCGGGCTCGCCAATGCGCTATCACCAGAGTCCTGCCCACACACCCACTCACTCAAATCTTAGTGGCTGGTTCTCATGTAAACTTGCTCAGACCCCTTCCAGCATCCACACTAATGGCTCCTGCCGCACACTGACACCTAAAGTGAGTCCCATACATGCCGAGCTGGACGCAGACCCCTTCCAGAGCTTACACTCTCCATCCACCAAGTCCTCACAGCGGCGTGGGCGCAACTGGGTCCAAGTGGAGGAGGCCGTACCTCCTCGACCCAGCTTGGAACCAAAGAACCTGCTCAGCTTGTTCGAAGAAACAGCTCTGGAGGGGGAACAATGAACACAACACTGCCTTTATCTCATTCATGAGTTTTTGTGCGAAAAATGTAATGTGACAAAGACCTAATGTATTAATGTAATAAGTTTACTAGCTTGTAAATATTTTTTTTGCCATTTTGTAACAGCTTCTTTTAATGTGCATTTGAAACAAAAAATGAATTTAGGGGAAAAGGGTTGGATGTGTACTCAGACCTTAGAACACTTTTCTTTTTTTTTTTTGGTTTGTGCCAGTGTAATCAGTTGCTGAAACGACTTGTGACTGTGACTCTGCGTTGTTTACCTCGTGAGATACAAAACAAAGCTAGCAGAGTTTGAACTTGTGGAGCATGTTGTGACTATAAAGCACCTCAAAATACGACATGACTGGTGTTTCTTTGTTCTCTAGACTTGTGCACATTACAGTTTGATATAACAGGCTATCCTTTGAGAGTAGTCATCTGTTCTCTGATTGGATAGTTAAATTTGTGATTGACAAGACATTGACCAATCAGCTGAAAGGAAGAAAACTCGGGTCAAAACTCGTACTTGTAAGTTGAAACTTGAGTGCAGTTTCACACGTATTTTTTATATATATATTTTTTGCTTTGTATCTGTAACCAGACCTTAACAAAAACAACTTGTAACTTGTATAAATATTTTTACACACACAAATCTTTTTCTTACGCACACACAAATTCTTATCTGCAGATGCACAAATATATATACGCATTCTGATTTACAAGTACAAAATATTTATGACCACAATTTGAGCCCATAGGACAGTCAACAGAAACACATTTTTCATAGTGCATGTTTGAGGTACAGAATATTTGAATTTTAGTAAACGCAGTACAGCTTTGTGGTGTTATGTTTTGAGCCCTTACCAGTAGGTGGCAGCAACGGGCCTCAGGAACGCTTCAAACCCATGAAGAGGACGCTGCCGCTTTATTGCTATCGCGCTGTTTATTAAACCGTTTTAACACCTGACCCGGTTTACAGCAGGAAAAGCTTCACACAAAGATGTTCGGCGGACGCACTGGCTGCCATTTTTAATCTACCTGCAGGAATCATTTTAAAGGGAAACGATTACCTGCATGAGTGTTAATATTTTAAACAATTCACGATTGCAGTTTGAGCGGCTGTTGAGACTGCGCATGCTTCATGGGATCGCATTAAACTCAAGGTATGTGAGCATTCGGCTTGTTAATAACTGGTAGTAAAAATGCACTCCCGTTTTTTCTGCTTTCCTCTTAAATAATACATTCTGCTATTTATTTATTTTTTTGTTCTTTGTTGCATAAATATCCAATCGCCATTATTTCTTTCATTTATCTAAGTGGAAATGTGCAGAACACATGTTGCATCCTGCAAAAGTCTGTTAAATATGCTCCTTAATTTTTTGTCTTCTTAGTCCTTAAAGATGGCCAAAATTGAGCGCCTTAATGTTCGAGTGGAAAAGCTCCTGTCTAAAGTAGTACAGGAGGTTCTGGATGTGGTGAAAGAAACTGTGTGCGAGTATCAGGAGAAAACTGCCAGAACCCAGAGAGAGAATCAGAGTCTGAAGAGGAGACTGCAGGAGCTGCAAGACAGAATTAACCTGGAGAGCAATGGTAAGAAAACAAAGGATCCAGCTGTGAGTACAAGTGGTGAAACAGCTGGATTTAAACTTTTTTAAAGTAGTTTAATGTGTGTCTTCCTGCAGGATTTGTGCCAGAAATGTTTGCATCCATCCCAGCAGACATGAAAGAGAAAGAAGAGGTGGTCATCCCTGTTGATAAAGACACTGAGTCATTAGGTGCTTCCTGCTTTTCCCCTGACCGTGCAACAGAAAGCCTGGGAAATCTGAAAACAAAGACACATGATGGACAGTCAGCCTCACTATTAAACCACGAAAGACCCTTCATTGCACCTCTGCATTCTGAAAATGACCAGAAAACGAAAGTAGAGCCTGCATCAGATAACGATGGCTTGCGTATTGTGAATGATTTTTATTGCGATCCATCAACGAGCACTGCAGGACTCGGAGGTGAGTCTGCAGTTTTCTACATTGATTCAGAACGTGACGTACAGGAGCCAGCGAGACACATCAGTGCAAACGATGCCGGAGAAGAAAACCAAACCAACACAGAAGTGGGCTGCTCGTCCTCAGCAGAGAAACTGCAGAGAAACGTCCGAAAACACTACAGCTGCTCTCTCTGCGGTCGCACCTTCAGGCATGCAGGTGACTATAAGAAACACAACCGGGTGCACACAGGGGAGAGGCCGTACTGTTGCTCGGTGTGCGGCAAGCGCTTCAGCCAGTCGGGGTACCTCACAGTACACCTGCACTACCACACAGGAGAGAAGCCGTTTGCCTGCAGCCAGTGCGGGAAAAGCTTCAGTCACTCAAGTAACTTAAAGAAGCACCAGCAGACTCATCTGTGAAGGCTGGTGGGTTTTTCGAGGTCAGCTAAAAACATATAAAGAGGTTAATGTGCCTTCTTCACAGAATAGACTGCCTCTTAGGGAGCACTTGTGTTTTCCTGAGCTGCTGTTGTTGGTCAGATTTTGTTTGTTCCATTACTAGATTTTGAAGCATGGAGTCTGTAGTGTGTTTCTGTATTGTGATCTCCAAATAAAATAATTAGCTGATCAAATTCTTTTGGTCCTTCTGTGTGGTCCATTGCAATATTTGAGACTGGTGCACAATTTCCTTTGAATCAGTCTCAAAACCAAAATTGTATTGTTCCGAATCATCAGACTTAAAGGCACCTACTGGAAGCCACAGCTCATTTCTAAAATATATCCACCAATTGGGATCTCTTCTACTTATTCAGTTCAGGGTCACTTATTTAATTTGATTACTCTATGATGTTGTAACATATTTCTTTAGCAGGTATGGGTTATTAATGTTACCAAAGACCCAGATGGGAAACTGAGACTGTTTTGGAGGACCTCAGCAATAGGATGAACTCAGTTCTCTTCAAAAAATAATTTGATCTCTTTATAATGTGCCACTGTTAGGAGTAGATTACAATTAGGGTCCTAATTTTGGCTTCTTGTAATAATTCTTGAGGTGCAGAGACAGTATTCATGCTTTTGTTGTGACTTCAGATATAGATATGTGATATTTTATTTATTGGCTCTGTCATGTCACAAAACAATTAAGGGTTCAGGATGGCCTAATATAACAAAATAATTCACAATATCACAATTTATTGTATGATAAGAAGAAGACAGAAGCGTTTCACTCGGACTTTTATTTTGAAAACAACCCCTCTGCACACGTGATCAGAGTTCTGCTTCCGGATGTTAAAGATTGTTTTTGCTGTTCGTGGATCTGCTTTGTTACATGTTGTCAGTTTTTTTTTTTTTAATAAATTATCTTTACAAGTTTGATAGGATAAATTACTTGTCATTAAAATTGATTTATTTATGTATATTTTTGCTAACACGATAGCCTTATGACCAAGTGTTTGGACCTCTGGGATGTTTAAACGGAAAACATTGACATACGAAGCTAACTTCGGGACTAGCTTACAGGTACTCCTGGAGATTTAAAAATATTCTCGTATCTAAAACTGATATTAGTAACAGTTACAAGATAACACTGCCACGTATTTCAGGTTCTAGAAGATGAGTAACCATCATTTTACCTGTTTACAATGTTTTAAATCTCGGACCAAAATAAGGTGAATGTAGCTGAATGGAAGTGTAGTAGGAAATCATTTGATTGCGTTGCATGACGGTTTAATAACAGGACAGGTAATCACTGGTTTCTGAAAGAACAGGTGGCTCTAATTCGTTGTTTGAAGTAACAGGTAACTGCACCCATCAGTGCTGTCATATACAATCACTGGGCACTTTATTAGGTACACCTTGTTTGCACCGGGTTGGACCCCCTTTTGCCTTCAAAACTGCCTTAATTCTTCATAGCATAGATTTTATTACCGGGTAGGCTGTGGTGTTTAAATTATGCTTGGTTGGTATTAAGGAGGTCAAAAAAATATTCCCCATAATGAGCAGTTAAGCAGGTGTACCTAACTAGGTGGTTGATGAGTGTAATCACCTAGCGGTAGCATCAACGGTATTGCTTATCATACATTTCTCCTTAATGAACATATAAAAACAGATGTGTTCTCATAAGTGGTGTTTCGTTTCAGGATGTCTAAACTTGAGCGTTTGAACGCCCGGGTGGCCAGACTCCTGACCGAAGCCGTGCAGGAGGTTCTGGAGGTGGTGAAGGAGACGGTGTCAGAGTACCAGGAGAAAACAGCCAGGACACAGAGAGAGAACGAGAGTCTGAAGAGGAGACTGCAGGAGCTCCAGGACAAGATACCAAAAGAAAGCACCCATGAGAACACATATAATTTTTGTGAGGAATTTATTATTACAGATAATGTAACATTTTTGTTCTGCTTAAGGTCTCTTATTCATGATTGCAAATTTCACAGCTGTCCTGACTACAAGTGGGCCATCAGCAGAGGAGTGCGACACAACAGCAAAGCAGGATCGGCGCATCATTCAGAAGCATGACTCGGATGTTATTGCTCTCGCAGAGCAAAACAGCAACCAGCTCAACTATGTCTTGAAGCAGGAGACTAAAGAAAAAGACAGCCACAGCGGTATTCAGACACAAGCTGAGTCCAAGTTGGCGCAAACGTCCACAGACCACCACAAAGTACAGCTGGCAGATGCAACGCACAACTTAGAGGGGCAGCGTATGCCGTCTGAAACCAGGGACGCCGGCGCAGACCCTTACTCCAGCACACTGTTTGGGTTAAACATGGCTGCTATCAAAAGTGAATCAGAGCCCACAGACTGCATGTCATCACAACAACCATGTCTTCAATCTCAGTACACCGGCTGCATGGATTTAAGCTGCAACTCCTCTCGTCACACCTCTACCGAGACCCTCAGGCCGCAAGCTAGCGCCGAGCCTTATGGACTCGTTTTTGTTCGTTCAAATCACATGGCACACAGGAGGCATGGATTAGCAAAGAACACCAGGGCCGGTTTGGACGGCAGACAGATCAGGATGGAGCACCTCAGGAGAGACGGCTTCCACTTGTGCGTGGTCTGTGGAAAGACGTTCAGCAGGGTGGGGAACCTGAGAATCCACCAGCGCTGCCACACAGGAGAGAAGCCGTACGGCTGCGTCCAGTGTGGAAGGCGCTTCAGTCAGGCGGGAGACCTGAAAAAACACAAAAGGGTCCACACGGGGGAGAAGCCGTACTACTGCAGCCAGTGTGGAAAGAGCTTCAGTCGAGGGGAGAACCTCAAAAGACACCAGAGGATCCACATCGGAGAGACGCTGCAGTTGCAGCAAGCGTGTCAGGAGCAGCGGTAGTGATTACAGCACTGAGTCGAGTGCACATCAATAAAATCAGCAGAGTT